AGAATGACAAAACATGATGCAACAGAAAGATAAACATTGCCCCTGAGTGTGAGGACTCCACAGTGCTAGGATGCCAGTTCTCCACAAACTGACCTTTAAATTCAATACAGTATGAATCAAAATCTGAAAAGGCATTTATATATTTTGCCTATAATATAAGTCAATTCTAAAATTTAAATGAGAATGCAAATGTTCTAACGTAGCCAAAACAACTTGAAAAATGAGTCAACACTACATGATTTTAAGTATTATTATAAAATGCAGTAGTTAGACTGTGATGTCAACATACCCAACTGAAACAGAACAGAATCTAGAAGTAGATTCACATATCATGGACTGTCGACTTTCATCAAGGATGCAAAAACAGTTTGCTGGGGGAAACAATAGTTGTTTCTTTTTTAACAAGTGGTGCCAGAACAATTGTACATGAACATATAGAAAGTGAACTTTTATTTATACCTCACAGTGTAAGTGTAGTATAAGTCCAAATCTAACACCTAAAGCCATGAAACTTCTAGAAGAAAACATAAGGAACAGTCGTTGTGACTTTGGGTTAGGTAAATATTTCTAAGCTATAATAGCAAATATGTGACCCACAAAAATGGGTAAGTTGAATATAAAACTTAAAAATGTATCCTTTTTACCAACTGTTAAAGAATAAAAATACAAGCCATGAGCTAGGAGAAAAAAGTTACAAAGTATATATCTGATAAGGGGTCTGTGTCCAAAATATATAAAGAACTCCCAGAACAATAATTATAAAACAAACTAGTAACATGGACAGAAGACTTAGAACAGGCCCTTTATTAATGAAGACAACAGATGGCAAACACAGGGAAAGATGCTCAACATTATTAGTTAATAAAATTATTCAAATTTAAATCAAAAGAAAATGCAAACTGTACAACTCTCATAACAGGTAAAATGAAAAAGACTAATTATATCAAGTGTTGAAAAGTATGTAGAGGAATCAGAATTTTCATACAGAACTCATAAAATGTAAAATGTTTCCATAATTTTGGAAAAGTTCCATCAAAAGTTACATAAAACACCATAAGATCTACTCTTAGGTATTTTCCTAAAAAAAAAAAAAAAAATGAAAGCATAGGTTTTTCCAAAGACTGGTACATGGTGCAACTTTATAAGTAAGATTCAAAAAGTAGAAATAATCCAATTTTCTAACAATAGGAGAATATATGAACAAATTTTGGCATATCCATACAATGGGATACTAATCACCAATAAAACATAGATAACTATTGACATACACACCATGGATGAATCTCAAAGTAATTACATTGAGGGAATAAGTAGAATAAAAGTACTGTACACTGTTTGATTCCATTTATGTAGAATTTTATAAAATGAAAATAATTTGTAGTACATCAGTTGTTAAAGACATTAGTTGCTGGTTAGAGGCAGGAATGGGAATCTTAGAGTGGGCTGAAATACATGGCGCAGTAAGGATATTTGGGGGATGGATTTGTTCAGTATTTTGATGATTTCATATGTTAAAATTAATTAAATTACACATGTTGAATATGTACAGTTTCTGTATGACATTTATAACTCAAAATGATATTTAAAATGAAATGCAATTGTTAAAATCAATCCACCAGAACATACAGATTATAGACAAAAAAAGTCTGGATCAGGATAGAAACACTATATATTAAGGATTAGACCACTATGTATAAAATTTGACTCATAGGAGCACATGAAAAAATGTAGAGGAACTAAAAAAAGAAAGAATACAAGAAAAATATTCACAGAAACAGAAATATATCTTTGGGTTGAGAGGCTCACCCAGGACAAAACACCTTAAACAAACCAACCAATACAAATAAAAGACTCTCACTAATGACCACTTTATGAAATAGCAGAAAGACATCATGAAAGCTTCCTTAAACCAGGGCAGTTGGATTGTGTGTGGAGTGAGGATTTGAGGCTTGAGTTGCCTATGAGTAAAAAGCATTATCTGACATACAACTTGTAAGTAGTATCATCAGTTGATAAAATATAATGGCAGAATGATTACAGTTCTAGGGTAATTGCTATTCAATCAACAAATAAATACTTTGCTAACTGAAAATGAAATCTAAAGGGCCAAGGATTCAGATATGCACAAACCTTCACCTCCACCACCCTGTGATATTATCTGAGGAAGAACTGAAGCTAGAGGGATAAAACCAGGAAGATAAAACACATGGGCTACCAAAAAAAAAAAAAAAATCATGGAATTAATCTCTACATCCAATGGGATAAAACCAAAGTGAGAGTTTTGAAGCAAGTCCAAAAAGTTGCCTGGATTTGCACAGGAAGTTAGTCAATGACAAGAAAAACATTTCCATGTAGCAAAGGGAAAAGATTCTCAATCACGAATTTAGTGACTGAAGTGGTGATTAACATCAATTACATGGTCAAAAAAGTACATCATTCTTTTCTCATTAAGAAAAATAAGCCACATTAGTAACCCCAGAATCACACTTGTGGAGACTGGGGAAGTATTAAACCTAGCAAAGTCCTGATGTAAATAAAAGGTGATGTGGTTTGGGATCCACTGCAGGAATGCAAGAGAAAGCAATTCATTTGACTTGGATTTTAGGAATGTTCTTTAAATAGCCTATGTTTGAGACAATAGACATCCAGAGATTAGAAAGAAACTCAACTGAACAGTTTAGGTCCATTTTGAAAAAAATATTTATATAATCTTTATAACATCTGCACTTTAAAGTAGTTCAACTACTAGAATTATTTTTTATGTAAAATCCTCAAGCCTGAATTATGGTTAGAGATGAGTGTAAAATCTCTTATTAATGATAATGCAGTAACAGCTGACAGGTTATGTCTTCTGCCACACTCTATCAACTGAAGCCACCTTCTAGGCAGGAATACAACTGCCTTTGTTTTTTAAAAAAATAGTCTAATGTTTATATATTTAAACCAAAAATACTAAACCTTGTACTATACTTATACAGTACAGTTAAACAATATGGCTTGTTCATTAACTTTCCAACTTTTAGAAACAATCTGTAAACACAATCTTAAATGCTGAAACATAATTTTATGATTACTGGCAGAGTGTCAGTGTTTTCAACCTTGATAATATAAAATTAGAGTAATAGTTAACAAATGTTGGGAGGTGGAACAGGAGGAAGAAAAGTTCATGGACAGATAAGGGTGTTAATACATTTTTAAAATGGAGATTTAAGAGCCAGTTGCTGAAACACTGTGTAATAAGACCTGGAGATTGAAGTTGTAAAGACATTTACTTACAGTCATCTGTCCCTCAGGGCCAGTGGCTAGATTCTTGTTTAAGTTTCAACACAGCGTCAACACTACCCACATCCGGCATGTGCTCTGTCATTTCAGTGAATTGCATTTGATTTGAAAGCACCCTCTCCATTGCTTGCTTGACGATTCTAACCAGAGACAGTTAATATAAAAGGGAAGTGCCATGGAGTGATTCACCTCTAATTCTAGGAATACCTCAATAGCTGTTGCTGGATTAGACCTCTACAGGGCTAGCTGTCCTACCGAAGAAATGCCATCACAGGTCTCAGAGTCGTCTCTGGATAGTATTCTCATTCAGAACAGGCTGCTACTCTTAAGAAGCTGTTACAAAGGACGTTAGCGCGAGCTTTGGAAAATGGCGACAGCTGTGGGTGTGGACAGTGGCAACTATGGAGCAAGAGCGTGACCAGAGTACTGGCAGAGACTCTATGGGTATAACCAGACCTCACATTCCATGAGACTTCCTGAGCTGTTTAAAAAGATGAAGCTTTTAATAAAGAGGCTTTAAAAATTAGATCAGAATTTGAAAATTCTTTATTCTTCAGTCATCGGTCATTTGAACTCGTCACCCAGGATAGTTAGTGCTTTAACCTAGTGTAGTAGGTGTGAGCTGTTTTAGCCTCAAAGAATTAGTGTGGACTATGTCCAAGTCAGGGTCCCAAAGAAGAACAGGAATGTGGAAAAGCTGCCCGCATGATGAAAAAAAAATAAAACAATACAGGAAAGAATTACTGAAGAAATCGTGTTACCTTGCTTACAGAACTTAAATTGGGAGGTGAATCTGTTTTTATACACTACCTTGCGAGGGCATTTTGATTACTTACAACCAATGGAAATATTCCTCGTAAAGTGTCTCCGGGTGAGTCAAGTTTCTCTGGGAGACTATAAGTGAATTTCTAAGTCTTATCTGCTTTGAGATATCTGAGGATCTGAGTTTATTCAACATTCATTCACATATTCATTCATTGTAAGACATCACTTGCTACTTTCTTGCTGAAGTGGAAGCAAGAGAAATTCCCTTGCATTATTAAGGAACTATAGATAATGGGACAGGCATTTGCCACCGTGGTTAAGTCACACATTGGAACTCTTGTATCCCCTATCATAGTGAGTGGGTTTGAGTCCCAGTTCTGCTTCCAATTCCAACTTCCTGATAATGTGTGAATGACGGCTTGAGTACTTGGGTCCCTGCCACCACATGGGATACCCAGATAAATTCTGGGCTTCTGGCTTTGGCCTGGCCCAGTCCTTGCTGTTGTGGGCTTTGGGAAGTGAACCAGTGGATGAAAAGTCTCTGTCTCTATGTCTTTCTGCCATCTGAATACATAAAAGAAAATAAATACAATTTAATTTTTTAAAAGAAATAACTAAAGATAAGGATCAATACCACATTGAGCAGTAAATTTTGGTAAGCTGGTTCCCTGGCCATTAATATAAAAACATTTCTTTCTTAAAACACTTATTTTCAGAAAGGGATGTTAGTTGTCTGTGTGCCAAGTTGTCCTTTATGTTCAAATGGTGATTTCTTAACTTTAAAGTCATATTAAAATTAGTCTTTCATAGACTAATATTGGGCTTAATTTTTTTTTATTTTCAGAGTAATCTGAATGGGCACATGCAACCAAAAAGGATGGGGATTAGAGTAACCACACCATTTCAACAATAAACAACCAAGGAAGAAAAGAAAATCAGTCTTCACATTTAAGTCAGTTAGTCCTTTTTTAATAAATTTGAATTCATTCATCAACAAGTTTCATATTTTATCTATCACTCAATTTTGCTGTTTTTTCATGTCAAATAATACCAAAAATTACATCAATGTGCTTAAGCAAAACCAGGTTTAAATTTATCTTTACAATGAAATGAAATCAACATGGGAATTGATCAAGACAGCAATCATCTATACCTACTAGAATAATCCTGCACTTACTTACCTTTAATGCACTCACTGACTTGTGAAGTAGAAAAATGAGACAAGAATGACAAAATGTGTCCATGGGGCTGTCCCTAGAGAGTGGCATGGTATGGGAGCCAATCTCTGGGAGGCTGCTGTTTACCCAGGTGTTGGGAATTTAGTATTTCAGGAAAACATGGCACCTTTCAATGCAGTAGAAGAGGTAATCAATCCAAGGCACACTAGCTAGTGTCCTGGGAAAACTGAATCCACCTGGGCAGCTTTTTGCCCCTAGATTCAATGTTACTCTGACTGATGGCTCACACAGAGATGAGAGCCAGAACCAAGTCCAAGAGTAACAAAATATTTCACCAATTGTTCAGTTTTACTTACATAAAATGGCCAGAAATGTGAACTGGTTTTCAGGTACAGCGTCAAAGTAAGATTTATGGACCAGTTTATACTTTCAAGCCAGGAGATTCAAAGTTGGACACATTCTCTTTTTGGAACACACCACTGAGGGACAAACAGCAGTGGGTTTTCTAATAGATGCTGAAAACGGACACCTACAACTGCAGGGTGTCTGTCCCCTTCAAACCAGTCCCATGCATCTTTGGGATCACCTCTGAGATGATCTTGGTGAAAATGTCAATTCCATGTTTAAACAGGAGAGAAGCGCCTTCCATGAGAATGATTGAACATGTCAAAGTTCTGGGTGCTGGCATTAAAAACACATGATCCTGCAGATGTGCATGTAACTTTCACACCTAATGAGAATTTTATCATGGCATACTTTCTAGTTCCTTTGAGATTCAGGGGAAATGGATATTCCATGGTATAGACAGTGAAACCCCTCTACAGTCCTGGGGTTGGTGAACAGGAATAACATTTGTTTTAAAGACTGCTCAAGTCTTATCTGTCTTTCTCTGTAGAGATTTGTGTACCAGGGCTCTTGAATTGTCTCGAGCATATCTGAACGTCACAGCAGCAAACTGTCATAAGATTATTCTGTACATTTTGAGCCCCCATGAAGCATTTTGGAAAGACAGGAATATTTATAAAATTAACTTTTTATTACTTTCAATTGAGAAAGAAATCACATTATATCTCAAACTAAACTTTACTCTGCTTACTCAAGAGGTCTGGATGCAGGTAACAGCCTCTTCACATTATTATCAGAGGTCTGGGTTCAGAATTTCTCATCACGGCTCACTCACTGGCTCAAATAACCACTGTGGAGTAATGAGAGATCATTTTAACAGAACAGAGAATCAAATTCAACTCTCTTCTGTCAGCACAGAGTTCTCTTCTTGATACTTCTCATAGCTTTTAAAAATGGAGAAGCTATAAAACAATTTTATTCGAAGAAACATAATTTTCTTCTGAAATGGAATAAAGCAAACACATACCCAAGGATCTTAAAAAGTTGTTTTTTTTTACAGAACATATGTATGTATTTGTGTGTGTATGTGTGTGTAGTTACAAACACTATTTATAGTATAGCTATTATGTTAACTTCATCGCAGTGTCTACAAAGTTGTGGATCCCAGTCTTGGTGCCAAATGCATATAAAAAGCTCAAAAGCTATTATGACTATACCATGCAAATTTATGTCCAGAAAAACTTGGGAAGTAGACTGCAGCTTTTCTGAGCCCCATAGGGTCTCTGCCTTTGATATTTGGGTACCTCAACTATGCATCAAAAAAGTTTTGAATCACACTTCTCCCAGAAAGAATTAATGTCACAGTTCTGAATAGTATAAATTATACTCTTAAATTAACCCTTGACAGATTTTGTCCATTCATTTGCATTTTGGGGTCCTTCTTCTGCATGTGGAGCTCACACCTTGAATTACTCAATACAGAAAAAGATACCTGAAGTATTGAAAGGGATAAGGTTGTTGCAAACGCTGTTTTGTTCTTTAACATATTAACAATGATAAGGCCACTTACAAGGTTGTTCCCAAACTGCTTAGCTTTTAGGATCTCCCATTGTTACCCATGACAAAAATTGCCAGAGAAAAGCCAAAGACCAGGAAATCAGTGGCTAGTCTCTAGAGGAAAAAAAAAAATTAAAACTAGAGAGCAGAGATTGGGAGAAGACATTGAAGTAAGAAAGGAATGAAAGAGGGAAAGGGGCATAAAAATTGGAAATTGTTTCTAGCATAAGATTTTGTGGATTATGTATTATCTGATGCTGGGTTTGAAACTATTGCAGACTCCCACAAATTAATGGTTGTTATGGCCAACAAAGAAAAATCAAGTAGCGGTCAGCTCGTGCTGACAGTCCCCACAGCACACACCCTCAGCGAGGGTGGTGCTTCTATCTATGTGGAGGATGCTGGACCAGCAACAGGAGTCTTGGACTAGACTCTGCTCATTAAGTTTTGAACAGAACAGAGATGTGGCATAGTGGGATAAAGTATTAATTTAGCACTTCTTTCCAGCATATTTTGCTTTTTTAAATTTTTTCTCCAAATGCTTAACTTCACTGTGACACCTGTTTGCACAACTGTAGTCATTTCAGTTTATGGATGCCTGTGATAGAAATATTGTTTACAAAAAATATATCTTCTCTTTTTTTCTTTAGAAAGATCTCATCTAAATAGTAAGTTAAGGTTGCGTCTATGAAACCGGTGCACCTTGTCTTGTTTCTACGATCTTTAAAAAGTCCAAATACTGATGAGGCTGTGGCTCAGAGGAACCAAGTGACTGTGTTTGTTGTAAGGTTGCCCTCTTTGCCTCAGAGAACGGTCATGGGTTGTTGGGTGATACGTGGTGTGTACTGGTCGTGTTCCTGCAGAATCCTAGGAAGACTAGGAGTCATTGGATGTGCTTATGAAATATGTCAGATACAGAAACAAAGGCATGAGGAATATCTTAGTTTCTGAAAGTGAACACTAGAAGTGTTTTAGCTTCAATCTTAATTTCTAGTTAACAGAAAGTAGTTACATCACATAAAGAAAAATATGACATTGCATGCTGCCATGATAGCAAGCATAAGAAACAAAATCTTGGTAAATATACAAATGTATGCATATTATGCAAATATATCTTATATTAACATACAATGTTATAAGAATGATTGATAACATAACTGCAGGGGGGAAAATCATCCTAGATGGTTTTTCCTTAGAGTAACAAATAACCTGAGACGTCTATGCTTTCTGTATGTAAGTTGTCAGGCCTAAAAATCCATACGCGATGTAGTGCACATTTTCAGTGATTGAAATGTCATTGACAAAATGTGCCACTATGTTCCCACATGACAGTTAAGCTGGATCCACTCCAGGTGAATGAGAAACGCACAAATACTGTATATTGGAGTACTTACAATGAGTTGCCATTCACTCCTGATGGGTTTTCAATAGGTAGATGTTCAGACGGCAACGTGGGATCTATCTATGTTTAAGACAACGGGTAAGCTCACACAGGCTGTGGCTCACCTCATCCGCTACACCATTACAGAAAAAGTACACCTGATGAAAACAAACCCAATCATCAGAAAAGCCAAAAGTCTCTGCTTAGTAAACTGAAAGAGAGAATATGAAGTGTGTGACTCATTTTAAACTAGCAATACCACTGAATGAGTTCCAAAAGATTAACTAATAATTTCTGATTTTTGAACTAAAACTTCTAACATGGTAATAAAAGACACATTTTTGGATGATATTGTGTTTCACGCCCTCATTCTCAAGGCATAATATTTAGATACTTGTCCCTTTCAATTAAAAAAGAAAACAACTATGACTTTCTTTAGTATGCATCCTGTGTTAAATTGTCCATAGCTGCAAATGTATATGTGTATTTGTTCTACATACACATAGGAACTTATACCTGTGTGTATGAACACATACACATACACGCTCATATACACGTGTATTTTATATATATGCTGAGAAAGTTCACATATATATACAATTGTGTATGTATATATGTGTGTGTCTGTGTGTGTGTGTGTACAGGTATAAAAACTTGACAGGCAGAGTAATATTTCTCTCAGTGTTAAATGAAGTCTTTCAAAAATCAAGTACAGTCACTCAGTTAACATAGTACAGCCAGTAAACTAAGTTGAAAAGAGAAAAAGTGAATGGAAACACGATCCTGGACCATCTGTCTATGGCATTCACATCGGTTAGATCAGGGATTTTAATTTTGAGCTGCGAAGACCTCCTCCGTAGATGGGTCTTCTTTTGTGGGATGCTTCTGTCCCCCATGTATCGCCCATGCCCTTCCCTAGGCATGCTCTGTTTCCTGTACTGGATTCCTGAGTTGTCAAAGGATATTGGTGAATTCCCGGTATCACCAATGCTGCCTGTGACTTCATTCATTTCATTGTGAACTTCCAACGATGTTAACAGAATATTTCCACGAGCATCCACCTAATTGGAAGAAAATGTGCACAATTAAGCAGGTAGCATGCTGATAAATCTAATTTTAATAAGGAAACCCAACCCAGGATAAAATGATGTTATACAATCATATGACATACTGTATGAGAAAAATGTGTGTATGTGAAACCTAGCCTGTTTTATTGGGAAACATACCATTCTGGAGGCTTAACTGCAGTTTAGAGATTTTATTTATCTGATTTAAAATTTCTCATAAAGGAAATTAGAAAAATATAGAATGGGCTGCTTTTTCATATTGAAATTTCACTTGACACAAGTCCTTACTGAAGAGAAAACAGTTTTTCAAAATGTTAACTTTAATAATAACCACTTTCAATGACTATGCACTATATAGAATCTACAGCTGCTCCTCCATACGTACCCATGATTTCATTCTTTGCAGTTCTGGTTATCTGCAATCAAATGGCATCATCATGGTTCAATGATCCTTCTTCTGATGTAGGATCAGAAGGTCAACAGCATCCTAATTCCACATCACAACACCTACGTCACTCACCTTTCTTCCTCTTATGTAGGCCCTGTGTCAGCTCACATTGTACTAAGAAGGCTGAATGCAATACATGGCATTTTGAGAGACAGACCACATTCTCATAACTTTTCATATTACAGTACATTATAATTGCTCCATTTATTAGTAGTAATTATAATTATTTTCTTACTGTGCCCAATTTATGAATGAAACACCACCATTGATGTTTATGTGTAATAAAAATGGTGTCTATGTAATTAAGTACTCTCTGTGGTTTTAGGCATCCACTGGAGATCTTGCAATGTATTCCCTGTGGATGAGACAGGGGAATATTACATACTCTTCCATTCTTCTTTGGAAGTCAGTTTGCCCCCTTTTCTCATGATAAAAAAAAATCCAAGTTGCCATGTAGCAACAAGTGGATAGTCCTTTGACCGAAAGATCTCTAGGTGGAGTCAGTGGGGTAAATACAGATACTCCACTCAAGCAGGATCTCCTTGTCCAATCCTGCTCCTACAGGAGACCTCTTTTCAAGAGCTTATATAAGATACACTAAAATTCCTCTCCATAACAGAGCCAAACTGTAAAATACCATTTTATTGTGTGTTAAACACAGCTTCAGAACTTTCATGGTGATGCCAATGGTCCGTTTCTTCTTTGGCTTCCCATGGAACTCTCAGCATAAAATCTTGAGACTTAGGATCCCAGGGGGGTTCTTTCTAGGGACAGACTGAAGGTTCCTCTCTGAGCAGTATCAGTCCCTGCCATGGGCTCTAGTCCATTCCACAGTCTCCTGAGCACTTACTCCAGCATGCCCTACATTCCGCTGCTGGAGGACCAATCTGCCTTATCATTCTTTTGTATGTGAAAAGCCCAATACTTGTTTCAGCTCAACACTAAGTATATCTGAATCCTTCAGTGAAATTTTCACACAACTAATTATTTTGTAAATGAATAATTTATCAATGTATTAATTGGTATCTTTCTATGTACTATAGGCAGACATTAAGCAAGATGAGCAGGGGAGGAGATAAGGAGAGCAAACTTCTGATTGTTGATAGAGAAGAGACAGGGTCCCAGGTGGAGATCTGACAAAGGCTGGGTCTCCAGGTTGAATGGCCCTCAGACAACAAAGTGGGTAGAGCGCAGGAAGCACTGCAAACATCTAGAGCCACTTGTCTTTGGCACCAAGAAGACTCTAAGATGTCTCTAGTATAACTTGAGGATACCACTGAAGGTTATTCAACTGTGCTCAGGAAAGTGAGGCGTGGTCCTCAGAATACAGTCCCAGAAGGTCACACCACACTCACCAGAACCTGTGAACATGCTGCTGTACTACAAAGGGACTTTGTAGTTGTAATTAAAGGTACAGGCCTTAAAACATGGAGATTATCCTAGTGGGCCCAATTTAATCCCACGGGTTCTCAAAAATATGGTAGGGGCCATCACTGTGGCGTAGCAGCTGAAACTGGCACCTGCAGTACTGGCATCCCATATGGGTGCTGGTTCGAGTTCCAGCTGCTCCATTTCCAATCCAGTTCTCTGCTATGGCCTTGGAAAGCAGTAGAAGATGCCCCAAGTCCTTGGGCCCTTGCACCCATGTAGGAAACCCAGAGGAAGCTCCTGGCTCCTGGCTTTGGAAAGGCTCAGTTCTGGCGGTTGCAACCATCTGGAGAGTGAACCAGAGGGTAGAAGACCTCTCTCTCATTCCCTGCCTCTGCCTCTCTGTAACTCTGCCTTTCAAATAAATAAAATAAATCTTTAATAAAAAAAAAAAAGTATAGAGCAGTTCCCCCTAATCCATGGACCATCCATTCCAAGACTCCGACGCCTCAAACTGTAGATAGCTCCTAACAGTATATATTGCTATTCTTTTCCTATACATACATGTCTATGATAAAGTTAGTTTATAAATTAGGCACAGCAATAGATTAAAAACAATAAAACTTACAACATGATCTAGAAAAAGGTTACGCAAATGTCTTCTTTCTCTCTCTCTCTCTCTCTCTCTCTCTCTCTCTCTAATTGCCATGAGACTTGGAGTATGGTTGTGAAGAAGGGACAATGCACATCCTAGCCAGGAAGGGTGAGGAGGCATAAGATTTCATCATACTACTCAAAGGTAACTTAAAACTTATGGATTATTTCTTTCCGGAATTTTCCATGAACACTTTCAGGCCCCACTTAACCCCAAATAGCCAATATTCCAGCAAGCAAAACTATGGATAATGCAAGATTTCTGTCGGAAAGTTTCTCCTGCTAGAAACAAAAGTCAGAGAAATGAAAGCAGAAGGATTTGAAGCCTCAGAAAAGTAAAATCCCTCTGTATGAAGACATGGAAAGCTGCAAGAAGGAATAGGGCAGTCAATAGCAGTAAAGACTGTCTCCAGACATCAGTAAGCAAGGCAAGGGGAACTACAGTCCTGCAACCACAGGGAACCATAAAAAATGATCTTCAATAAGTTCACAGAAAATGTGCATTATAAAAAAATGATGCATGAATTTAAAAAAAAATTTTTGCACCAAAATAAATATACTTTTTAAATTCCACTTGTCCACAAACCCTTTGAGTTACTCTCACTTTTGGACAACCACTTGAATGAACCTGGAAGCACATTTATCCCGAGAGTCTTCCAAAACGAAAACAGCCCTGCTAATACCTTGACTTCAGCCTTGTGAAAATCTATGCAGAGGACCCAGCTAAATCCCACTGCATTGTACTTCTGTCCTATGTGACTGTCAGATGGAAATGGGTGTTGTTTAAAGGTGCTTGATTTTTGATCATCTGACAGGGCAATAATTAAAAAAAAAAAAAACACTGCAAGAGGTAAGACTGAAAATGCATTTGCATTGGACCTCAAAGGATGGTAAGAAATTTTTTAGGCATAAAGAAAGAAGAACATCATAAGCACAGGTCTGATAAGTACCTGAAGCATTCTGAGAAAAGCAAACTAGCTGAGTGGGAACCAAATTCTAGAGGAAATGGTCTCCTGCACAGCACTCTCGGCACATGCTGGGCCTGTGATAGGTGACCACTGCCACTCCCACCATTGTCATTATTATCTTTGCATCATCTTACCCAGTAGGAACGCACACAGTGATGAATGGAAATGCAAACTAGAGTCAGGGCAATACAGTTTTCTGGTTTTTACATTAAATAATTTAAACATTCATTAAGGAACAAGAAGTAAAAGTGATTTCTCAGTAGAAAAGTGACTTATTTCTGAAGCACAGCTCAAGCTGCAGGATTAAAAGTAAACACTGGATACAATAAAGACCCCGCTGCTGGTTAGAATACTCTCATTGGTTTCTGCTTCCTTTAGGGCAGTATAGAAGAGAAATGCCCTGAATAACTACTCCCTTCCCACCATGGCAACAAACCACAGCATTTCCTCAAAGCCTCACTGGCACACTTGGTGCACCCACAGCAGCAACACTTGGCCACTGGCTGCTCAGTTCTTTATCTGTGCAGTTCCGAGAGGGTAAAAAGAGTATAGAAAGAGACAAAGCACTCAGGTCTTCTCTGGCTATCTGAGGCACAGACTCTTACATTCACCCTGCAGCAAGCATGTCACTAGCCTGGATGGTGCCCAGTTTTCTTACACAATGCTGCCTGTGAGTTATAAAATGAGGAGTGACCCTGTAAAAATCTTTATGGGCAGAGCAGTCACCTTAGAACGGATGACAGCCAGGCTAGGGGAAGTCAGAAATGCAAATTCCCGAAGACAACATCGTGTGTACCAAGGAGATGCCCTACATGAAGACACGCTGTAGGGAAAGGGGAGACAGTGACACAGAAATATTAGCATTTTCTTACTTTTGTTTTAATCCAGTAGAGGGAAAATTCTATAGCTGTTTTTGTCTCAAAAGAACCAGGAATGTTAGATCTTGGTAGGAATTTGGAACTTGTGCTCTATGTCTATTCTTTTTGTCATCTTTCCCTGGAATGATCTGCAATAAAACTCCTTCAATTGCAAAGCCTATTTGGTAACTTCAGAATCAGGGAAGCATCCAGTGATTTAGGTTAAGGAATCTTTCATTGTTCTAAGAGGATGTAGGAGGAGAAGCCCAAAGAAGAATTAAGGTGTGGCCAAAACAGAAGACAGCAAACATGTGGGGCCAAGACATCCAGGGCCAACTATGGATGTGTGGGGGATGCACTAACAAAGAATTGAGCCTACTTTGGATGCAGAAGGAGCACAGCACAAGAAGACAGCCAAGTTTGCCTTTACACAAAGAACAACTGTAAGCAGGATCTACAGGAGGCATCTTGTCTCATTACTGTCTATCTCCCTCTAGTGCTTTCTATTCCTCTGTATGCCACAAGTGAGGGAAACAGATGCGAGGAGGAGAGCCACAGACCTGGAGAAGGCTTTGGGAAAAGGAGTCAACCAGTGTGACCCTGTTAATAGAATTTGTTCAGTTAATTCAGTTCACAACAGTGCATACTGGAAACACCCCACTAGACATCTGATTTTATATCGTGAGAGAAAACATATTT